TTTTTCCCCCTCTAATTCCGTACATGAATTGCAGACCCTCCCCTCCCACAGCTGGGCCATGGCTTCGGACCAGCTGGCGTGCGCCAACCCCTGCGAGGCAAAGTGTCCCCAACCCCTGGCCACCAGCAGCAACGAGCCCTGCGTCGTGGCCTGCGGGGACTCCCGGGTGATTATATACCCGCCGCCCGTCGTTGTCACCTTCCCAGGGCCCATCCTCACCACCTACCCGCAGCAAACCGTCGTGGGAGCCTCCGAGCCCCAGGAGGTGGCCCTGGCAGAGCCCCCCGCTCCAGCACCACTGCCAGGAGGGGTGGCGGGGAGGCTGGAGGCGGCAGCGGACAAACTCGCCCCCAAGATCGTTGCCCGAGCAGAGCCGCGCTGTGGCCCCAAATACTCCTACACCTATTCTTCCCAATGGACGCATCCCTGCAATTCCTACCGCTCCGGGAAACGATGGATGTACTGAAGCCCAACCACGGCACGCGCGGAGCGGGTTGAAGAAGTAGCAAAGGAACGTGGAGGTGTAAATTAGGGGTGGAACTGGAGGCACCAGCCCAACACTGGGGGTTGTGTGGCTCCAGCTGAAAAGGATTGGAGCTGCAAATGCTCAGCACCTGTGAAAGGCAGGCTCATGTGTGCATTTTCTCATTTTGCCTGTAGTTTAGGTCTGTTATCCTCTGGCTTTCCGGTTTAGTCATCTGCTTGCACTGTGCTTTGTCTTATTGCAGTTGTGTTACTGGCACCGAGCTTAGAGAGGTGACTTAGGATGCTAGAAATTGCACACAGCAACTGTGCCAAAGGAGAACAAACATTTTTTACAGACTGTAACACTTTGACCCTGGTGATTAGCCAGAGCCTCACTGAACCCCTGGAAAGATGGTCTTTATACTCAGTACAATTTTGTTCCAGAATTGTAGAAAAGCTGTCTCTTTCCAAATAAATTTTCTGTACCAAAGTATGTCTTCTGGTTTTCATTACCACATAATAATTTCCTTCTTCATTTTCTTATCAATTGGATTTATAGTATATTTACCCTTGGTCATAGGTATTCCGTGTTCCTCCTTTGAGTGCGCGTATCACAAAATCCCAGGAATGCTTTTCTACGCAATGTCACTAAACACATGCTGAACGTTTGACACTTCCCAAGACCAACCTGAGTCCCTGGCAGCTACCGCTTCTAACAGCACCCCCTGCGAGTCCTTGGGTAATGCTCAGCTCCAAATTTATCACGTCCATCTCAGGACAGAGCAACTTCCACAGTAATTTGTCCCAAGCCCAAAGCAAGACAGGAATACCTGGGTGCAGCCAGCAGGGTGGAGGAATGTGCCACCCATGCACAGATTGTGCAGAGCTTTTGACATCACAAGGCAGGGGGGAAGGATGCCCTCGGGCTACCTAAAGGTGACAGCACTCCTGCATGTGCTGGCCACATTGCAGGGCGTATGCTGGGGGCATCACCCCAAGCATCATCACTGACTAGGGGAAAGAGGGTGCAGAGTATGAATGGCAAAGAAAAACGCCACTTGTTTAGTTTTTATTCTTCTATAAACCTCAGAAAACAGACGGTGGTGTTTCACCTTTGAAATCTGTCTCTGGTAACAAAGCTAATCATTTTCTACCGACTCCTCCTCCTTGCAGTTCAAAACTATTTTCTGAGAGAAATTTGGAGCTTCCACGAATGTTTTTAGAAAACGAATTGCCATCTAACATTTCACATCATTGCTCAGATGTAGACATAACTCCAGCCACAGTGAAGAACAAATTCAGACCCCCCAAAAAATTGTACATGCAATGCGGGTTCTTTAATGTGGATGGAAAATGCAAAAGCCAGTGACAGCAGGAAACAAAACAACACAGAAACAATGAATTGGAATCAGGAAAATCCTAAGGCTGCAGCGAGGCACAGCCCAGGGCGCCAGCCCAGAGGTTCCCCCCTCCTACTGCAGGTTGGGGGTCTCAGAGCCGGGCAGAGCCGGGCAGACTCATCCGAGGACCGGCACAGCGTGGCTGTGGGGCTGATAGAGGGGAGCTCTGGGAGGCAGTGCTGGGAACTCTAAAGCCGCCAGCTGGAGATCTGCAAGGTTGCTCTGTGCAAATAAGCAAGGACCTTCAAGTTGGAGTCGCTGCTTTGGCACAGGCTGAGCAGGGGCTGGGAGCTTCGTTCTGCGTGTGGTGGGAGGAGAGAAGAGGTGCCGCCTGTGGAGACGGAGGGCAGATGCAGCATTGAACTCCATGGACATTTGGGGTTTAGCAGGGCCCGCAGTTGCCACTGAGGTACCTGTGGCCACGGCGCCAGCCGCCCTATTCGCAGGTCCCAAGGAAGGCCTCCGTACACCCCATAGCCCCCAAAGCCTCCAAAACCACCACGGCCTCCAAAAGTGCCGCCGTAACCCCCTCCAACACCGGGGGCTCCCGCTGAGCCAACAACGCTGTACTGAGGGAAGGAGCTGAGGATGGGCCCGGGGAAGGTGACCACCGAGGCCGGGGGCTGGATGACCACCGTGGAGTCGGGGCACTGGCGCACGCAGGGCTCGTTGGCGGTGTCAGCCAGCGGGGCCGGGGCGGCCACCCCACAGGAAGGGATGCACAGGCTGGAGCACGACATCTTTTGGTTCAGGAGGTGAAGCTGCAAGACAAGGTAGAGCTACGGCTTAGTGCAAGACCTCATCCCAAATCCCTCCTGCCTCTCTCACACTTCGCATCTCTGTCAGAGCACAAGCTATGCATCATCTCAGGCACTCAGAGCAAAAACCTGATCCAGAGGTGAAATGCTGCTCTAAACCACTTGCTCCCCTCATACTCCCTGGTCCCGACTTGCCCACAGGACGGAGGAAAAACTCCCTCCTCCAAAGCAGATGGAAAATGACAGAGCTCCCAAAGGACTTGAGTGCATTGGTAGACTCCGAGTATTGTACGTACAAGTCTAAATTTCCATCCCTTGCATAGCTCTGGAACAGCACCATCACATCCTAACTATGAAAGTGTGGTGCAGGCCTGAGCAAAGGAAGCCTTGAGAAAGCCACTGCAGAGGAAGGAAAGATGGAGCTAAGCCTTGGACTTACCGCGGTGATGAGGAGGGTCAAGTAGAGGAAGATGGATGGAGGGCTGGGAAGGTCTCAGCTCTTTTATACCTGTCTTGGACTGCTCAGGGCGTTGGCCAGCGGGTGGTGGCAGAAAACCCAGGTAATCATGAGATGTAGGAGACAAGCATCATGAAGCAGGTTGTGATGCCGTGCAGTTTTCTCTGTCCTAATACAAAGGTATACAAAGGTATACAAAGGGTATACAAAGGAAGAAACGTGCCCTGCAGAGTAAACAGGTAATGGGAAGGGACAGACCATAACACAACATTACATGAAAGACAAGGCAGTGCTGTAGCTGACCTGGCGGCACCAATAAACCCTAATCTGTGTCTAATCCCCCCACGTTGCTTCTGTGCCAGAGTCCTGGGCATCTTGCAGAAATGCTTTGCAATCCTGTGCACAGCCATCACGCCTGTCATTACCTCCCTTTTACGAGGCGGTAAACTGAGGCAACAGGATGTTGGGCAAAGGGAGAAACCATCCCACCTGCTCAGGTCACCTCCCAAATGTCAGCTGTGCCCCATGATGGGGCCTCAATCCAGGACACAAGGGCTGGGGAGATCGCAGTACCGGGAGCAAGGGGTATCCCGAAGCTTTGGGCATACTCCAGCCACTGCATGGCTTGTTGATTTTTAGCTCCCCTCTTCACTTGACAGTCCTGCAAAGAGCAGAGGAGATGGGTCCCGTGTGGGACAAAGCTCCATCCAAACAGTGCTGGCACAGACATGGTTGGGAGGGCAAAGAGAGCAGGCACTGGTGCCCTGCATCAGTGGAGACGTGAACGGAGGAGCAGAAGAGGGCAAGAACAGGACCAGGACATTTCAGCTATTCAAATATGTGTCTGTTCAGCTATTCAACTAGGTGTCTGTTCAGCTATCCGTCCCTCTGCTTATTCGGCCATGTGTCTGTGAGCGTGGTCCTTGCGAGGGACCCTCTCTGGAGGGACTTGATTTCTACGCTGGGCATTGAGGGCTGTGCCAGGAGATGCTGGCCGAGCACCCAGAGGCACCAGGCTGCACGTGGCCACGCTCCCCACAGGCACGCTGGGCATTGCGGGCTCTGGGCACGTGGTTGGGCTTCTGCTGAGTGTGGCGTGCTTGAGCACAGCAATCTTCTGCAAGATGCCCAGGATTCTTCCATGTAAGCAAAGTGGGGGATTAGGGACAGATCGGGGTTTATTGGTGCCATGAAGTCAGCTACAGCAGTTCCTTGTCTTTCATGTAATGGTGTGTCACAGTCTGTCCCTCCCACCACCTCTTTCTTCTCCAGGGCACAGTAACAGGGCAATGTCCACAATGAAGAGGGATTTAATTGTCTCTCATCATTACCTCTGCCATAAAGCTTGTCCTCTTGATCTCATGATTAGCTGGGGTTTCCACCACTACCCTCTGGCCAACGCCCCGAGCAGTCCGAGACAGGTATAAAAGAGCTGAGAGCTTCCCAGCCCTCTATCCACCTTCCTCCGCTTGACTCTCCTCATCACCGCGGTAAGTCCAAGGCTTAGCTCCATCTTTCCTTCCTCTGCAGTGGCTTTCTCAAGGCTTCCTTTGCTCAGGCCTGCACCACACTTTCATAGTTAGGATGTGATGGTGCTGTTCCAGAGCTATGCAAGGGATGGAAATTTAGACTTGTACGTACAATACTCGGAGTCTACCAATGCACTCAAGTCCTTTGGGAGCTCTGTCATTTTCCATCTGCTTTGGAGGAGGGAGTTTTTCCTCCCTCCTGTGGGCAAGTCGTGACCAGGGAGTATGAGGGGAGCAAGTGGTTTAGAGCAGCATTTCACCTCTGGATCAGGTTTTTGCTCTGAGTGCCTGAGATGATGCATAGCTTGTGCTCTGACAGAGATGCGAAGTGTGAGAGAGGCAGGAGGGATTTGGGATGAGGTCTTGCACTAAGCCGTAGCTCTACCTTGTCTTGCAGCTTCACCTCCTGAACCAAAAGATGTCGTGCTCCAGCCTGTGCATCCCTTCCTGTGGGGTGGCCGCCCCGGCCCCGCTGGCTGACACCGCCAACGAGCCCTGCGTGCGCCAGTGCCCCGACTCCACGGTGGTCATCCAGCCCCCGGCCTCGGTGGTCACCTTCCCCGGGCCCATCCTCAGCTCCTTCCCTCAGTACAGCGTTGTTGGCTCAGCGGGAGCCCCCGGTGTTGGAGGGGGTTACGGCGGCACTTTTGGAGGCCGTGGTGGTTTTGGAGGCTTTGGGGGCTATGGGGTGTACGGAGGCCTTGGGGGCTCTGGGGGCTATGGAGGCTATGGGCTTTATGGGGGCTACGGAGGCCTTGGGAGCTGCGGATATGGCGGCTGGCGCCGTGGCCACAGGTACCTCAGTGGCAACTGCGG